AAAAACAGAGAGTAAGTGTAAGAGGCTATAAATAAATATGGAAACTATATACACATTATACAGGAAAGTTAGGATATGGATTATGTATATTTTATTGGGGTTATAATACAGGATAAATGATGACAGATAACAGCAGATAAAAGATTTACATGTTATTTACAGCTATGCTAAATGTTTGTACTTGTGTAGCGCTTTTTCAAGTCAGAGGACATGACCAAAGCCCTTTACACTACATTCAGTCATTCACCCATTCACACAACGACTCCCACACTGTTGATGGCACGCTACATTGTAGCCATAGCTGCCCTGCGGCTCACTGACAGAGGCGAGGCTGACGTACGTTAGCGCCACCAGTCCCCCTGACGAACTTAAATAGGCAATGCAGGTGAAGTGTCTTGCCCAAGGACACAACACTGAAAACCAGAACCGAGGCTTGAACCGACAACCCTCTGGTTAAAGGAAAAACCTCTTTATCCAACGCCACTGTCGCACCAAGCTATAGTTGAGAAGTGCCTGTAAGTGGTGTTGGATCCGTATGTTGTTGTGTCTGTGTGTGTGTGTGGGAAACAGTCCATGGTGGTCTTGTTTTACCTACAATGTGGGGGAAGTATTTTGTAAAATATCCTACATGCGAGGACTTACAGGCACAAATGGGGACATTTAAGTAGTCCCCAAATGGTTAAGTTCTGGTCTTTGATTTGATCTCATTTTGAATTGAACAGTTCATGTAGATGTCCTTGATGGCAGGGAAAAGTGCACCAGCAATGTGCTCAGCAGTTTTCATCACCATCTGCATCGCCTTCTGGTCCAAGGCAAGGCAGTTCCCATACCAAACTGTGATACAGTTGGGGAGCATGCTCTCAATGGTGCAGCGGTAGAAGTTTGTGAGGATCTCTGAGGAGAGGAATTTGTTCCTTAGGGAACGCATGAAGAAGAGGCACTGGTGTGCTTTCTTGGTGTGTCTGGAGCAGTTGGTCGTCCTAGTCAGGTCCTCGGAGATGTGGACCCCCAGGAACTTAAAGCTGTCCACACCACCCCCGCCGTCCCCTTGGTGTGGATAGGTGGATGTGGGTCAGCGTTCCTCCTTAACTCCATAATAAGCTCCTTGGTCTTTTCAGTGTTCAGCTACAGGTTTTTTGTGTCGCACCACTCAGCCAGATGTTCCATCTCCTCCATGTAGGCGGCCTCATTGTTTTCTCTAATGAGGCTGATCGCTGTTGTTTCACCTGCAAAATTGATGATGGCTTTGGAGCCATGGAAAGGTCTGCAGTTGTGGGTGAGGAAGGAGTAGAGGAAGGAATTCATCAAGCAGCCTTGTGTAACTCCGGAGTTTATGGTAATGATGGATGAGAAGCGGTTGTCCAGACATGTTGGGGCCAGCTGGTCAGGAAGTCGAGCAACCAGTTGCACATAAGTGAACTGATGCTGAGTTCTGTGAGTTTGGTAATGAGTTTTGATGGGATAACAGTGTTAAATGCACAGACTAAAGTATATGAACAGCATTCTGTCGTAAGTGTTCTTACTGTGCAGGGGAGAATGGACAGTTCCAGACAGGAGTGCTGCTCCATCGAGATTGCACCATCTGTGCTCCTCTTCTGCCTGTATGCAGATTGGTGGGGTCCGATCTCAGGTGAGCTAGAACCACCCGCTCAAAGCAATTGGTGATGATGGGGATGAGGGCTACTGGAGGGCAACTGGATGGGACTTTGGAGGTAGACTTGAAGCTGGTAGGTACCACAGTGTGGGCCAGGGACAGGTTGAAGGTGTCCGTTAGGACTCCTGCCGGCTCCCCAGAGCACACTCTGAGGACATGTCCAGATATGTCATCAGGACACGTTCAGGGACTCCATCAGGACCCACAGTCTTGTGGGCTCTAATCCTGCTCAGGACTGCTCCTACGTCAGTGGAGAGGAGAGTCAGTGGCTGGTGGTCTGTGGTAATGACTGCCTTGGTCGCAGCTGTAGTGTTCCCTCTCTCAAAACAAGCATAAAAGTTGTTGAGCTCGTTGAGGAAGGAAAGATCAGAGGATGTGGGGGATGGTGTTGGTGGTCCTGTAGTCTTCAAGAGTCTGAAGGCCTTGCCACACATGTTGGGGGTCAGAGTTGGAGAATTGATCCTCCACCTTCCTTTTGTAGTGGTGTTTGACCTTCTTGGTGCCCCTCTTCATTAACCTGAATGCAATGTTGCGGGCCTTCAAAAGGAGGCAAACATCCCAGTTCATCCAGAGCTTCTGGTTGGGGCACATGGCGGTACGTTTGTGGGTGATGACACCATCTTTGGTGATGGAGATGTGGTCCAGTACGTACTGATCGAATTCTGATTGGTAGAAAGTATTCCAATCTGGTTTCCTGAATCGGTCCTGGAGCACAGCGTCTGAGCCCTCTGACCACACCTTTGCTGTGCTCACAGTAGGTTTCACACTTTGGATGAGTGGTGAGTACAAAGGTGTGAGGAACTGGGAGAGGTTCCTCACATCATCTGATTGTCCAATGTGGGGGAGGGGTGTCGCCTTGTAAGCTCCAGCCAGGTTAGAGTAGACATGGTCCATGGTCTCCTCTGGTGTGAGAC